TACGTTGTTTTGCGTTATTAATTTTTTTATGGTCATTTGTTTACAACATTAGCAAAGATGATTAGTAATGTTTTGAAAGTGTACTATTAATCAGTTTTTTGTAATTAATAACCTTCCTTAGGCATTATTATTATTTCCAGCGCCATTATCAATTTTGAAACGAGGACTATTATTAATCATTTGTATCATATTAATATGTACTATTATTAGTCTTGGGTCATTTTAACGTTCAATTTCAAAAAAAAAAAATTTGCAAACATTTGTAACTTTATCAGACACCATTATTAATTTTTCGTAGGTATGCTTCTTAGTTTTTTGTTTGTTATATTTATTTATTATTAATTGAACCGTCTTTACTTTTAATTTAATTGATGATGTTAGGAACTTTATCAAATGCCATTATGAAAATTTGTTTATGTCATTATCAATGTTTTTGTTACCGATGCTCAATTATTAACGTTTTATTATAGGTTATTAATTTTATGTGATTAGTTATTAACCTTTTAGTATAAACGTTTCCACTATTAAGACCATTAATATAAATTAATTATTAATATTTATGTCATCAAGTCGTAGTTTTCATTTGTTATCTTATTAACATTTATGTCATCAATTCGTAATTTTCATTTGTTATCTTATCAATGTTTTTAACAACCATTATTAACGTTTTGCTCAATCATTTGCATTGCAGTGGTTTTTCCCTCTCTGTATGGACGACCAATTTGTTGTCTAATGTGTTGATTTAAAGAACATGCAATTCCAATTCATGAATAGCTTACCTCAAGGGTGGGACGGAACAACTAGCGTACAAGGAGAATGGTCAGGGGCGGAGCTAGGATTTAGCTTTTGGGGGCCGGAGTTCTCTTGATAATTTACCGTAAAGAGCTAAAATTCTATTAAACAAAAACTCATTTTATTTTATTAAAAGCGCACAAAAAAATTTATATTAAATTTGGGATAAATTAGAAATCTATATACAATTTCTAAAAAAAAATCAGTTAACTTATAGGTTTTCATTATCAACGGGATACAACCTAGTTATCCACTTTTTCGTGTTTGTTGGTAATTAATGGGGAATCGAGCTATTTGTAACAACTTTATTATCTTTTTTTTCGCATTATTAACATGTTTGTAATATCTTAATAATTTGACCACATTGTAAATATAATTTAACCGGATAAGTAATATAATTAACAATTTTGTTATTAACGGAAGTTATTTGTTACGATATTAAAGTTTTGTTATTAAAGTTTTGTTACCACTAATACCATTTTATTATTAACTATTTTGTTCCCCTGGTTAACCATTTACTTTAAGTTATTAACGTGTTTAACACTACTATTAACGTTCTATTATAAATTTTTATTATTAACTTTTTCAATACCAATTAGAACGGTTAACTATTTTAATACTAGCACCAGGACATTTCTAGTCTCATTTGCATTTTTATTATTAACTTTTTTTTTACCATTATTAACCTTTTATATTTAAGTCATCAACGGTTCTGCTACCATTATGGAAGTTATTGACCTTCAGTTACCAATTCGAAATTTTTAACTGTCATGTTATTAAAATTTTTGTTATAATTATTAACATTTTCCTCGCTCATTCAAATTGCAATGAGTTTCCTTTACTAATGTTCGTTTGACTGAATCATAGGTGCACTATGTCACAAGTGTTGAAGATCTGGAAGATCTATATTGTGATTCATGATCACTGAGAACGATATACAAAGCAATATCAATTGATTGCAAAATGTTAACAATGTCATTAGAAGTCATTGGAAGAGGCCATGACTAGATAGTTATAAACATGAGATGAAAATGTGAATCATTGGTAAAAAAACTAAAAATATTGTAAATCAATAATATTGCACTACTCAAACTTATATGACTTTAATAATTCATTCACAAGCATTGATGACAAAAATTGTAAAACAGTAATAATTGATCCAAAATTGTTAATAATGTAATTGCAAAAAATTGATAAGTATATTGAAAATATTAATAATGATTAGGTATAGTAATAATTATTTATTTTATAAATGTTGATAATGTCATTGCAAAACTTTAATACTACATTGCAAGTTGTCTCAAAATGAGAGAGCATGTATTTTTAATTTCATAAAAGTTAATAATATCATTGTAAAACGTTAATACTACATTGCAAGTTGTCTCAAAGTGAGAGAGATTGGGTATTTTTAATTTTCATTTTAAGAAAGAAAAAACATTAAGTCCGAATTTATTAAATATTAAATAATAATAATTAATTTAATTAATTCTGAATTTCCTTTTAATGATAGTGACGAGGGAGGGTAATGGAGAAGGTTACGGAGGAGAGAGAAATAAAATCATTAATTATTAGTATTAATTATATTTGCATAATACCACATTTACCCTCAACTAATAATTAACTACTAACCACTATTAACTACCTAATCTACTATTAGCCAATAAGAATGACTTAAGAAGATGCTTAAACTTATATGCTTAAGCACCGGATCCAACCCGTACTTGGCCTGTGTTAAGAGTGTTGTGTTTTAGTGAGTCACTACTCCTCCAATGAAGTTTGAACTGCAATAGTTATACTAACTTATGTAATAGTTGAAACTGAAAATGCTACTCCTCTCAGTTACTAATTTGCTACTTGAGCGGTTTAAAGAGTCTTGACCATAAATTTGACAACTTTATTTCGGGATCAATGTATCGGATGGGAAAGCTATGAAATAGTGTAGTCTTTAATAGTACTTCTTCAAGTTCAAGCCAACCCCTAAACATTGTCGGTAATTGATAACTGATACAAGAGACAGAAGAAATTAATTAATCAAGTCCAACAACTATAAGTTGCACCAAGATTTCAACCCAACGAAATCAAATTTATACCTAAAAGTTGAAAATGTCCAAACATCCAGACAACGCCACTCAAAAGCAAAGGATCGATGGATCACAGACAAAGACATGCAAAATTAATTTCATATTCATAGGAAAAGCCTTCTGGACACTGCAAACTGTTCTTCTTTTGTGGCAACATGCCATAACTTGCGGTCGAAATGATAAAACAAAAAAAGAGAGAAGAAATTACTTAAAAGCTGATTCTTTCTTTTGAAAAGAAGATTGGTGCAATAATATTATTTTATTTTATATCCTAAAAGACACAATGCATGAGCACAGGTCAAAATTCTGCAGTCATATACGTTTGAAATTCGAAGATACGCAAGTACACCACTAGCTAGCTAGGGTATTTTAATTATTGTGGATGGTAATCAAATAAATAATTAACTAGTTTTGGCATCTAATCAAGGGGAAAATAATAGATAGGGTAGTTTGGATGAGTATATATTTGAGTGATTTATTTAGATCAAAATAATTCGTTTCAAATGAGTTATTTAGTTTGTGAGTTTTTTACAAATAACTCAAAACGAGTTATTCGAAATAAATCCTATCCCCTAGTTATTTCGAAATAACTTGTTTTGCCACTCAACTTTTTTAAAATACCTTATGTCAATGGTTGAACCAAACGAGAAACTTTAATCCAATTAACACTAAAATAACTCCGAAATACCACATGAACAATTAATGAATTTTCTAAAAATACCACATTGGCAATTAATTCATCCAAATCACCTTAAGTGAAAAACCGAGTAGCCAAGTTTGTCATTCCTTCCTTTTATTTTATTTTTTTCTTTCTTTCTTTCTTTCTTTCTAATGTTTGCCTATATCATAATGGGAATTTATCAACGGGGAAAAGTATCATAATGAACATATGATTGCCAATATAAATAACATGCGCGGTGGAGAAGGAGAGGAGAGAAGTGGTAGTAGCTGGCTGGAACTGGATGCTGTTATTATTACGAAATGATTCACTGATCTGCATATATTTCCTATCCTGCGCGCATTGCTTTTGGCTTTGTCCGCCTCGCCTGACCGAGCCTCAACTTTAACCTTTGCTTTTGGTGGGGTACTTGTGTTTTATCAATCAGCGGCCTGTCTTTTCTTTTGCCTTTTCTTTCCATTGGGTGGTGTGTAATTTTGACAAGACAAAAAGCGAAATCCAGAACAATGCAAAGTAATAATTTTGTCCTTCTTTTCTTTCTTTTCTTCATGGGGATGGATGGATAGATATGTTCACACTAACAAAACAAACAGAGCGCAACCAAACAAATCACCCCTCTGACAATATCGATTCTAGCTAAGCTACTGTTCTGTAATTACTCTCCAACCAAAGATTCGTTTCCTTCTTCTTCTTCCGATCCCTTCTCTCTCTACAATTTGTTCTCTGGTTTGCTGCCCAGGAGAATAGCTCTCTGTTATGGTAAGAGACCAATGGAATGAAGGAAAATCTACGCAACAATATCCTCTGCTTATCTATGGAGATCTGTGTATCTGCTTCCCTGCTTTCTTTTCTTCTGCTTGGAATGGATTCTCTCTTTTCGCACGTCTGTTTTTTCTTCATGGAGTCGGTGCATGACAACTCAAAATTTTCTGGCGTAGGTGGTTCATCTATCACAGATTGTCTTGCTGCCCCCCTTTTATTGCATTATTACTTTATATTATAACAAACAAACAAAAAAAACCAAATAATACCAACTCATGTAGCTTAAATCCGACGAGTTTTTAACGAGTAATAAAATTGTTTAGTTCATTTTTTAATTCTGTACCAATCTCTTGCATACTCCTAATTACATGTGTTTTCTAGAATTACTTAAACAATAAACAGGGCATCGCGTTTTCCTTGAGTGCTTATTGAAAGGTTTGCTTATAATTGATGAAGACAATTACCCAAGTCTCTAATTTTCTATGGCGAATCATAAAATTTACTTAATCTAAAAAATAATAACCTATGATTTTGATTTATCAAAATTTATCATAGTATATAATACATATAACAAGTGTGAATATAAACATATAGCTTAGGATGGACATACGCTAACTTTTTCTGAAGCAACCCATGCTACACACAAAAATCAATCGTCACAAAAAAAAAAAACATATGTAGATTAACATATTCAATCTTCTTTGTTTGCGCTGTTGCTATACATAATACCTCCCTCCTCTCTCCCCACTAGATAGCAGTATGTCTCTTTTTGTACTCTCAAATAGCTAGCAATGGGGTGAATTTGAAACTGAAAGAAGCCAACAAATTAAAAAGAAGAAAGAAAGAAAAAACAAAACAAAACAAAAACCCAACAACAAACCCTGGCCTTCACCTGAAGACAAAATCAGCATTAATGGTGGTGGACGACTGGATGGCAAACTCTGTAACCATAAACCCACCAAACAATAATAAATATACATTAAAAATGAAAGAAAGAAAACCAGAAGAAGAAGGAGGAGGAGGAGGAGAAAGGAAGTTACAAAACTTCATCGCTGGACAGTTTCACAAAACATACTTAATTGTTTCAGATCCATCCATCCATCTCTCCCACACTCCACGCTTTTGTATGAACATTATCCCACATATATATATCAGCATTCTTTGTACTAGCTAGCTAGGTAGGTATTTAGATATGGAAAATTCAAAACCCTCTCACCTAATTCATTATGCATAATAATAATATTGTACTAGCTTAGTAGCTAGGCCATGGATCTAATTGGAGATGGGGTTGGGACCGCTGGGGACCTCATGCTCCTCAGCTCCAAACTGATGCTCATCTCTCCTCGGCTTCCACCTTGGCCTCGAGTCGTCGTGGCCTATTTTCGCTACTTGTTCTTCTGGCTGCTGCAGATCCACGGTGGTGGTGGTGGTGGTGGAAGAAGTGGAGTAGGAATCCAAAACTACCCTTTTGACGGAGATGGGAGAATGAAGCAGCTGCCCCTGCTGCGCTGGAGAAGGGGTGATGAGCAGAAGAAAAAGAAACAGGATGAGCAAAACTAGGTATTGATGATGATGATGGCTAGGTTTCCAGCAGGCAGCGGTGGCGATCTGCGGCGACGGACGAATTGTTGTTGTTGTTGTTGTTGCCATGCAAATGCAATTACTGGACGGAGAAGAGAGAAGAAAGCAGTACCCCCCAACTGCCCACAAGGCCTCAATATCCATCAACCACCTCAGGCAGCCCAGCTAGCAGCACTTTCAATTCAGCCCAGAGAGAGAGAGAGAGAGAGAGAGAGAGAGATATGAATGAAAGAATGGAGATGAAGCAAAGAAAAAGCAGTCGAAATAAGAAAAGAAGAGAGCGAGAAGGGTTCAGGAAAAGTGAACAACGGAAAAGGCAGGTTTGAAATTCTATGCACATCGTTATGTCCCTCCCTCCTATTTTGGTTCCTCTATCTGCTGTGCCCTCCTCCAGGCAGCCACTTACGCACGCTAACTATATTGGCTTCCCAACAACGCTTGGAGAAATTAAACACCAATTAATGCACGGAGATCCCAAACCCAAACCTCAACCATGGCCTCTTCCAATTACATTATTGACTACGCGTAGCTATTTGGTTCAGACTTTTTGATTTTACCCAAAATCGGAACATATAACCCGGATCGAGATCAGTTCGGGACCGGATAGCAAATAATCTAATCCAATTTTGGGGCGATTTGAGGTAAAAAAACCGTTCGGAATTGCATTAAAAACTGGATAAGAGAGCACAACCCACAATTTTACCTCCTCACCCTTTCAAACTTCAGGCCACTCAATCCCCCTCAAGCCATTCAAATCTCCACAAGTTCAATCTAAAATGAAGACCGAATTGGGACCGGACCGGATCAAAACCAGATTGTATCCCAAATTCATGATCCTTATATTCTCAAAAAAACCGGACCGGAACCGGATCAATTTGGACCAATTTTACCAGACCGGAACGTATAGCCACCCTAACATTACAACCGACGGCTCGAAGTTTTTATTTTATTATAAGAAATTAGGGTTTTTTGTTTATTTTAAATAAAAGTGATAATGAGGTGGAAATGAGATGGTAATTTTAAAATTTTTATTTTATTATTTTTATTATTTTTAAATTGCCACGTCACACATTTAACGGTCAACTTTTAGAGTTGACCGCCACGTAAGCAAAAGTTAACGGAGTTAGATGGAGAGTGACCAAACGTGAACAATTTCAGTAAACTTAAGTACCATCAATGAATTTAAATATTTCGAGCGACCAAACTTGAACGTTTTTTTTAATCTCAGTGACCAACCATATAATTAACCCGTTAATAATGATGTTGTATGTCGTTAACTATACCTCACACGAACGTTGAGAATGATGTTGTATATCATTAATAAAACCTCACAAAATAGTTGATAATGATACGATAAATTGCAACAAAATTAGTAATAACGCTAATACCACCCTTTAATATAATACATAAAAATTACGTTACTAAAAACAGTGGCAAGACAGCGTACAAGCGTCTACTCTTTGACTTATCGTTGTAGCATCATATACGCCATTCCCACCACAACTGCCCCAAGCATATATCTACACACAAAATCAATCAATGAATCAGTAGAGATATAATAAATATAAGTGAAACTAATTAATGGATTCTTGAGATTGATTATATGTAAATGGGTACCGGTAAAGAGCAGAAACACGAGCGTCTCACAAGTTAGAGGGTATATTTGTGGGGTGTCGGTTCCTATAAATAGTCGTCTCATAAGCTTCTCTAGACACACCACTAAAGAGCAGAAACACGAGCGAGACAGTATTCATATAGCTCCGGTTGTCGCACAAAATCGTCGAGCACCCTAGTCGAGCTGTTTTATTTTGTAGGCGACGGTTGATAGTCTGTCGTGCGCAATGAAAATAGTGTCACGAACGTTTTAAAGAAAGCAATATTTTACCAATAATATAAAAATATTATAATGTATATGTTTTTGTTTTATTTTTAGAAAAAATAATTAGTTTATGTTTTGCAATTAAAAAAATGAAACAGTTAGTGGAACAAATAGAGAGAGCGATTCGTCTCCATCCCTTCCTCTTGGGGAGTTAAAACCAAATTAGATTGGTTTGGTTTTAGACACTTCTAACCCATCAAATCAAATTAACGAGTTAAGTAATTAGGCATAACCATATTATATAGGGGAATTCAAACCAAATTAGTTTGATTTGGTTTGAATACTTTACATAACCACTTAAGAGCCAAATATAAGATAATTGTATTAGTTACATGTATTTATATGAAGGAATAACTATAAGTATATGGTGATTCTTATGTGTTATTTACTATATAAATTGTGAATTGTTGAACTAATCAGAAAATTTTCTCACTTAATGATAATGTGATGTTATATTGGTTATTTTGGTTAAAAAATTAACCAAACCGATTAAACCTTAGTTTGGTTAATTTGGTTGTTGTATTCGTTTTGATTTTTTCCATAAATACCACTAGAAAGGAAAAAAATTCCAAAAATACAACCCATTTATAAAATTTTTTAAAAATACCACAATTTCTCAGAAACCGCCTAGTGGGGCGCGGTTTTCGATGTAAACCGCATGGGTTGGGGGCATTTTTATTGACGGCATGGGGTCGGGGAGGTTTGGTTATATTTTTTTTTTCGATCACCCCTAACCTTAGTGGAAACTTCAAACCAACATATCTTTGTACTCGGGTATCCGATTGTAGTGAAAATTTCTAGTTCTGCATAAATTTTAGAGATCTTGACAAGTTATATGCACAGTACATACTTTCACTTCACGCTCATGAGTTGACTTTCGTTACAAGAGACATGCAAAAGAGCTGGTAAAAAAACTATGTAAGCAACATCTCCCAACAACTGAGTTATTAAACTAACCATTTCCTGACATCCATCTTCCATATATGTTCTTGAATTAAACATAGTAACTATCATATGTACGTGATGGTAAGTTCATAATTAGTAATTATCATATATTTCCAACTTCAATATATTGCAAAGCACGATTCTAACAACGACATAAGCAATATAAGTGATTCGGGCCTAATTGTACACTTTTTATCTCAGTTTCTCTTTGACGTTTTTGGTAATTGAGCTCCAAAAGGGGTGGTTTTACACTAGGATTCTCGTGCTTCAGTGTGTTTCAGATTCTAACAGGTGAAACCAACCCCAGAGTCAAAAGTTGAAAGAAAAGGAGCAAAGACCGGACAAAGAGGAGGAATCAGCTTGTGTTCACGGTCTACCATTAGAGTTCATGGTCGCCAGGACCGTGAACTGGAACCATGACCCATGAACCAAGAAGCGTCCAGAGGGGATCCTGAGGCTAACCCCGGAGTCGAAAGTTGGAAGAAAAGGAGCAAAGACCGGGCAAAGAGGAGGAATCAACCTGTGTTCATGGTCTACCATTAGAGTTCACGGTCGCCAGGACCGTGAACTGGAACCATAACCTGTGAACCAAGAAGCGTCCAGAGGGGTTTCCGACGGACAGACGCCAAGACTGGAACCACAAATCGTGATTGCCAAGCGCTAATCAAGAACTAATAATGAAATTGGTGTTCAAGCACTAATCATGAAATTGCGGATTGCCAAGCGATGAAGGAGACAAGTACCCCCCGGGTTGCGCAATCATCCAAACTTCGCTTGCTCCTCCCCTACCAATCCAAGACCTCCCGGTTTCCAAGGTCCAACGGAACACTATCAACTTCGGCCAACTTTAATTCAACAAAAGCCTCAATTCCAAAACTCAAACTTCCAACAACCATACTAAGCACAAGGTGGTCAAGGGTTCCAACAACAACAACAACAAGTCGACAAGTTCTCTAAACTTGAAGACCTTGTAACCACCTTTGTGAGTACAAGCTCTTAGAAGTTCGAGAAGATTGAGCAATTCATGGATGTGGCAACCTCCATGTTTACTTCGGTTGAGGCGGGACTCCGAAGTCATCAAGTAAGTCTCCAAAACTTGGAAGTGCAAATCAACAATCTTGTCTGGATCCTCATCGAGAGACCAAAGGGAGCCCTACCCTCTCAAACTATTACCAACCCCAAGGATCATGCCGGGGTGAATGCAATTCATTTGAGGAGTGGAAAGGTGACTCCGGAGGTCGTTCCCAAAGAAGTGAATGAGAAGGAAGACCCTTTACCCGAGTGTGAAGAAGAGGAAACCTCGGGGGAAAAGAGACGAGTGGCAATGAAGACATGGAAAACACTACCACCTGTGGCTAAGTACATGGCACCCCTACCTTTTCACACGGGGGTGCACCAGGAAAGATAGGAAGAGGAATGTGGAGGTTTCATGGAGATGCTCCGAAAGCTCCACCTCAACATTCCCTTCCTTGAAGCAATGGCCCACATGCCAAGGTATTCAAGATACTTTGAGGGGTTTCACTCCAAGAAGTCAAAGTTCGAAGACCTCGCCAATGTCACCATAGGAGAGGAATGCTCAGCCTTCATCCTCAAAAGGTTGCACAAGAAGAAAACCAATCCAGGTAGTTTAACCAGACCTCTTTGCATCGGTACTCATCACATAGAAAATTCCTTGGCGAACTTAGGGGCGAGCATAAATGTGATGCCATTCAAGCTTTTTAAGAGGCTGGACATAAGTGAGCTAAAGACTACGAGGCTTAGTGTCACATTGGTCAATCGCTCTGTCAATAGTCCTAGGGTCATAGTGGAGGACGTGCTAGTACGAGTGGGAAAATTCTGTTATCCGACAGATTTTGTGATCATGGATATAAGCGAGGACTCTGAGATGCCACTTATACTAGGACGCCCTTTCCTTGCCACCGCCAAGGCTTTAATTGATGTAAATGAGGGAACTTTGATTCTGAGGGATGGTGAGGAGAGAATTACTCTTGGAATTGAACCTAAGCCTAGGAGGGAGGATGTAAAGGAAGTGAAACAGAGTGATGTGAAAGGAAGTGGAGGAGAACCTTGCAAGGTGAACCCCACATTATTGTTGTTCCTTGTGATGATGTGAAGCATGAAAGCAAAGAGAGCATCTCACCCAAAGAAGGAAGGAAAAGAGCTTGGAGGGAACGGTTAAGTCATGCTAATGCCCGATGAAAGGAAAAGGGCAAAGTGGAAGCGAAGAGTTCAAGTAAATATTTTCGGTGGTATCCCTGTGCCAGGTTTTTGTGATTATGTGTTTTGAGTTGGGTCGTGAATGATAGTAGGCACGGTGGAGTAGGTTTGAGTAAATATTTTCGGAAGTATCCTCTTTTCACTGTTCTTCACGGACGGATTGTTCTATTCACGGTCTTATAAGACCGTGAAAAGGAAAAAGCGTATGTGAACTAGGGTGCTTCCATGAGTGTCAAACCCACCGATTCCCCACAGTTCACGGACGGATTGTAGTGTTCACGGTCTTAACGACCGTGAACTGGCAAACGCGTTCCTGAACTTCAGGGTCTGCCTATAAAAGGACCAGGAATAGTTTTCCTTCA